GTTACATAGAGACTCATAGAGATACATAGAGACTCATAGAGACTCATAGAGATACATAGAGACTCATAGAGTTACATAGAGACTCATGGAGTTACATAAAGATTCATAGAGTTAAATAGAGACTCATTGAGACACAGAGAGACTCAGAGATACATAACGACTTACAGAGACTCGTAGAGATACATAGAGACTCATAGAGATACATAGAGACTCATAGAGATACATAGAGATACATAGAGACTCAAAGAGATACATAGAGACTCATAGAGATACATAGAGACTCATAGAGATACATAGGGACTCATATAGTTGCATAGAGATACATAGAGACTCATAGAGATACATAGAGACTCATAGAGATAGATAGAGATACATAGCGATACATAGAGACTCATAGAGATACATAGAGACTCATAGAGATACATAGAGACTCATAGAGATACATAGAGACTCATAGAGACTCATAGAGATACATAGATCCTCATAGAGATACATAGAGACTCAGAGATACATAGAGACTCATAAAGATACATAAAGACTCATAGAGATACATAGATACTCATAGAGATACATAGAGACTCATAGAGATGCATAGAGACTCAGAGAGATACATAGAGACTCATAGAGATACATAGAGACTCATAGAGATACATATATACTCATAGAGATACATAGAGATACATAGAGACTCATAGAGATACATAGATACTCATAGAGATACATAGAGACTCATAGAGATACATAGAGACTCAGAGATACATAGCGACTCATAGAGATACATAGAGACTCATAGAGATACATAGAGACTCATAGAGATACATAGATATGCATATAGACTCATAGAGATACATAGAGATACATAGAGATACATAGAGACTCATAGACATACATAGAGATACATAGAGACTCATAGAGATACATAGAGACTCATAGAGATACATAGAGATACATAGAGATACATAGAGACTCATAGAAATACATAGAGACTCATAGAGATACATAGAGACTCATAGAGATACATAGAGATACATAGATACATAAAGACTCATAGAGACTCATAGAGATACATGGAGACTCATAGAGATACATAGATACTCATAGAGATACATAGAGACTCATAGAGATACATAGAGATACATAGAGACTCATAGAGACTCATAGAGATACATAGAGACTCATAGAGATACATAGAGATACATAGAGACTCATAGAGACTCATAGAGATACATAGATACTCATAGAGATATATAGAGATACATAGAGACTCATAGAGATAATAGAGATATATAGAGATACATAGAGACGAAGTGGGAGGTGGGCTGTTTTGGGCAATCCTCGCCAGCGAGCTCAGCGACTCAATAAACTAAACCACGTGCTGGAATTCGCGCCATTCTTTGTGTGCCCTGAAGAAGGCCCACTGCCAGAAACGTCGCCAATAATATATTTATTTCGCTCGGAGGCGGCGTTGCTTTGAAACGGCGTGCGAACAAATACCTCCCCCCGTCCCTGCTGCGGTGTGCGGAGTAAACGTCGCCACTGGGGAGACAAAGGCGGTCGGGCGTGGTGCTGGCCACCCACCCCCTCGTGTGCCGTGCCAACCTTCACAGGTGCCACTCGCTAACAGCACTTGCCCCAACAGTCTGTCAAAGGCTACACGGGGGGACTTTGTCTTTGTGCGCAGGGAGCGGTAGTGTAGTGGTTAGCGCTACGCTGCGCTACGAGCCTGCCGAGCCCGAGTTCGATTCCCGCTCACGGCCAACATGGGTGGAAAATATCTGAACCGATCGTGGGCTTCCCCTAGGTTGACTCAGCCTAAAATGAGTACCTGGTGCGGTGTGTAAACGTCGCCACTGGGGAGACAAAGGCGGTCGGGCGTGGTGCTGGCCACCCACCCCCTCGTGTGCCGTGCCGACCTTCATAGGTGCTGCTACTCGCTAACAGCACTTGCCCCTACAGTCTGTTGAGGCTATAGGGGCCGTCCATAAATGACGTCACGCACCTGGGGGGGGGGGGTCAGACATTTGTGACGATGTGTGAGGAGGGGGGGTTGAGAAATGTGACGTCATATCAAAATGCGCAACTTTAAATATAGACAACACGTTCTACTTAATTAAATATACTCATTACTAAATGTTTTCTCCTACAACATCAGAGTGCAGCGGCACATTAAATACGCACTACAATGACAATAGTTTAAAGCGATTTGAAGCATGTTTTATTTTGGGGGGGTGGGGCAGAGCTTTGTGACGTCATATTTGGGGGGGGTCTGACTTTGTGACGCCGTGTGACGAGGGGGGGGGGTCAAAAATCGTCCAAAATCGCGTGACGTCATTTATGGACGGCCCCACACGGGGTCAGGGTGGAGATCTCTTTGTCTTTGCATCGTCCCAATCCTCCGTGGAACTACGGCACCCAGCGCCACCAGAGAGACGCCCGTCACCGCATGGATGCTCAACACACGCGCGCGGCTGAGGAATCCCTTGACAATTGCTCTATTAAACTATTATACTATTAAGTTTTTGTATTTTACCAGGTAAGGCCCCAACTGAGCTGTGTATGGATCTTTTTCAGAAGCCACCTGCACATCAGAAATGATAGCCCAACGAAGTGGCTTACCACGTGGATATTTATATACAGCAGACAAATTATCTAATCGCGTGGTGACGTTGATTCTAAATGTGGAGGGGAAAAACCGGAGGACCCGGAGAAAAATCCACGCGACCACGGGAAGAGAGAGACACGCAGACTCCAAATATACAGCAGCAGCAGGCATCGTCAGGGTCGGGATCGAACCCACGACCTCCTGCATACCAGGCGAGGTAGTTAATATCTCCTTGCCACCGTGATGATGATGATGATGAGAGAGAGAGACACAAACTCCACATATACAGCAGCAGCAGGCGTCGTCAGGGTCGGGATCGAACCCACGACATCCTGTATACCAGGCGAGGTAGTTAACATCTCCTAGCCACCGTGATGATGATGATGATGAGAGAGAGAGACACGCAAACTCCAAATATACAGCAGCAGCAGGCGTCGTCAGGGTCAGGATCGAACCCACGACATCCTGTATACCAGGCGAGGTAGTTAACATCTCCTAGCCACCGTGATGATGATGATGAGAGAGAGAGACACGCAAACTCCAAATATACAGCAGCAGGCGTCAGGGTCGGGATCGAACCCACGACCTCCTGCATACCAGGCGAGGTAGTTAACATCTCCTAGCCACCGTGATGATGATGATGAGAGAGAGAGAGAGACGCAAACTCCAAATATACAGCAGCAGGCATCGTCAGGATCGGGATCGAACCCACGACCTCCTTGCATACCAGGCGAGGCAGTTAACATCTCCTAGCCGCTCTCTTCATAGACCAAACGAAACAAGAAAATAATAATCGAGAAGTGATCGTTCACACCGGGTACGGTCACGGCCACTCGAGCCGCCGGTGACGAGTGAATGTGAGCCAGTCGCTGCGTCCTCTATCACGGGGGCGAGCAGAGTGGTCACGTCTCCTGGCTTTGCCTCGATCGCCCCCAAGGCTGACGAGCCAGCAGCAGTTGCTGGCGCTATTCCCGGCTTCATCTGCAAGTCCGTTAAAAGTCATGCTTTTTGGAAGTTGCGTAAATGTAATATCGATACAGATAGTCCCCGACTTACGACGGTCCGACTTACGATATTTCGAACTTACGATGGCGATAGCGATACGACAAAATTGCCATCAGCAACCTAACATCAACAACCTAACATCGTTCAAGTATGCAGACGACGGACAGGATCTTGGTGAGTACAGTTACAATATGATACGTTACGATACGTTAAATGCATGTATGGTACATAGCTTTAGCGATTTAATTTTAGGGTTACCACGATACGTTCAATGCATGTTAAACGTTTTTTTTAAATAGCGGGTAGGATTGTTTCCTGAAAAAACTTTCTAGTAAATTGCAGTTCATATAGGTAGGCTAAGAATTTACCTTGGTTTTTTTTTCTTTACACTTTACTGTGCAATACAGTATTGTAATTAATAAATACATACAGCATATAGTTTATACAGTACGGTACTGTAAATTGCTCTGTTTTGCTAAATTATCACCATTCGTTAAGACTCCTGGGTAGGCTAAGGCCATCTTCGACTTACGACAATTTTTGACTTACGATGTGGTGGGGGTCGTCATCGTAACGCATCTCCATCGTAAGTAGAGGACTACCTGTACAAATAACCACATCGACCTGTATGTCTCAAACATCCTCTCGGGTAGTACCCGGCCAGGGAGGAAGCTGAAATGTCATACACAGGCAACAGGACAAATCTGAACCTCCCGAGATGTTTCATTTTAAGGGCCCCAAAATCTCGATTTTGAGTGTCCCATAAACATGTTTGTGCGTGGTATCATGCAGAAACCGTTCAAGATAAAAGATTGCGGGCCTTTTCGTTTTATGGAGCGTCACACAACAAATTAAAGCGAGAACCATTGTTCCGTCTTTGTTTGTTTTTTCAAATATTTCGGATTCAAGCGGTTTTGAACAAAAACAATCCGCATTTTGAGATGTTCAAATCCGAATAATTTGAAAACGGTAAAGGATCAAAAGTCCCCCCTTGCAGATTATTAAGTTCACTAATGTTTAGTCTTTCTAATAAAACAAAATAACGGAATCTTTCAATAGAGCGGTTTCTGATGGGGACGTCTTTAGTTGAATGAAATCGTCAACAAATTTCGTGTATTTTTATTCGGAAATTGAAAAAAAAAATTGGAGCAGTAGTTAGCGTCTGATCGTAAATACAACATTGTAAAAAAATAATCAGGTTAATGATATCTATTGGAAACTTTTGCCGAGGCGAAGACAGAAGCTTATGAACCAGTTATAAGTAAGAGCAATATCATTCACAGCTCAAGACGAGGACACGCAGGTCACGTGTAGCTACTGACGCACTTCGTCTGATATCGTGAGATACCATCTTGATGGAGGCTCCAGCTCTGGCTGATTTAAAACGTCACCACCACCACCGTCACCACCACCACCATCATCACCACCACCACCATCACCACCACCACCATCATCACCACCACTGTCAACACCACCACCATCATCACCACCACCGTCACCACTATCACCGTCACCACCATCACCGTCACCACCACCACTGTCAACACCACCACCATCATCACCACCACCATCATCACCACCACCATCATCACCACCACCACCGTCATCACCACCACCATCTTCACCACCACCACCACCATCATCACCGTCACCACCATCACCGTCACCACCACCACCATCATCACCACCACCACCACCGTCACCACCACCACCACCATCATCACCACCACCACCACCATCATCACCACCACCACCACCACCGTCACCACCATCACCGTCACCACCACCACCATCATCACCACCATCACCGTCACCACCACCATCACCACCACCACCATCACCGTCACCACCACCACCATCACCACCACCACCACCACCATCATCACCACCACCACCATCATCACCACCACCACCACCATCATCATCACCACCATCATCATCATCACCACCAACATCACCACCACCACTGTCAACACCGTCACCACCGTCACCACCACCACCACCATCATCACCACCACCATCACCACCACCATCATCACCACCACCACCACCACCATCACCACCACCACCATCATCACCACCACCACCACCATCATCACCACCACCACCACCACCATCATCACCACCACCATCATCATCACCACCACCACTGTCACCACCATCACCGTCACCACCACCACCATCATCACCACCACCACCACCATCATCACCACCACCACCACCATCATCACCACCACCACCACCGCCACCATCATCACCACCACCATCATCACCACCACCACCATCATCACCACCACCACCATCATCACCACCACCATTATCATCATCACCACTGTCACCACCACCACCACCATCACCACCACCACCACCACCATCATCACCACCATCATCATCATCACCATCACCACCATCATCACCACCACCATCATCACCGCCACCACCATCATCACCACCACCATCATCATCACCACCATCATGACCGGCACCACCATCATCACCACCACCATCATCACCACCACCATCATCACCACCACCACCACCATCATCACCACCATCATCACCACCACCATCATCACCACCACCACCACCATCATCACCACAACCACCGTCACCACCACCACCATCATCACCACCATCATCACCATCATCACCACCACCACCGTCACCACCACCATCACCACCACCACCATCATCATCATCACCACCACCACCACCACCATCATCACCACCACCACCACCATCATCACCACCATCATCACCACCACCATCATCACCACCACCACCATCATCACCACCACCACCACCACCATCATCACCACCACCACCATCATCATCACCACCACCACCACCACCATCATCACCACCGTCACCACCACCACCACCACCACCGTCACCACCACCACCCTCACCACCGTCACCACCACCACCATCACCACCGTCACCACCACCACCACCACCCTCACCACCACCACCGTCACCACCACCCTCACCACCCTCACCACCCTCACCACCACCGTCACCACCACCGTCACCACCATCACCACCATCACCACCACCACCACCACCACCACCACCCTCACCACCATCACCACCACCACCATCACCACCATCACCGTCACCACCACCACCATCATCACCACCACCATCATCACCACCATCATCACCACCACCACCACCGTCACCACCATCACCACCACCACCATCACCATCACCACCACCACCATCATCACCACCACCATCACCACCATCACCGTCACCACCACCATCATCACCACCACCATCATCACCACCACCACCATCATCACCACCACCACCACCATCATCACCACCACCACCATCATCACCACCACTGTCAACACCACCATCACCATCATCATTACCACCACCGTCACCACTATCACCGTCACCACCATCACCGTCACCACCACCACTGTCAACACCACCACCACCACCATCATCACCACCACCATCATCACCACCACCACCGTCACCACCACCACTGTCAACACCACCACCATCATCACCACCACCATCATCACCACCACCATCATCACCACCACCACCGTCATCACCACCACCATCTTCACCACCACCACCACCATCATCACCGTCACCACCATCACCGTCACCACCACCACCATCATCACCACCACCACCACCGTCACCACCACCACCACCATCATCACCACCACCACCACCATCATCACCACCACCACCACCGTCACCACCATCACCGTCACCACCACCACCATCATCACCACCATCACCGTCACCACCACCACCACCACCATCACCACCACCACCATCACCGTCACCACCACCACCACCACCATCACCACCACCACCACCATCATCACCACCACCACCATCATCACCACCACCACCACCATCATCATCACCACCATCATCATCATCACCACCAACATCACCACCACCACTGTCAACACCGTCACCACCGTCACCACCACCACCACCATCATCACCACCACCATCACCACCACCATCATCACCACCACCACCACCATCACCACCACCACCATCATCACCACCACCACCACCATCATCACCACCACCACCACCATCATCACCACCACCATCATCACCACCACCACTGTCACCACCATCACCGTCACCACCACCACCATCATCACCACCACCACCACCATCATCACCACCACCATCATCACCACCACCACCACCGCCACCATCATCACCACCACCATCATCACCACCACCACCATCATCACCACCACCATTATCATCATCACCACCGTCACCACCACCACCATCATCACCACCACCACCACCATCATCACCACCACCACCACCATCATCATCATCATCACCATCACCACCATCATCACCACCACCATCATCACCGCCACCACCATCATCACCACCACCATCATCATCACCACCATCATGACCGGCACCACCATCATCACCACCACCATCATCACCACCACCACCACCATCATCACCACCACCACCACCACCATCATCACCACCATCATCACCACCACCATCATCACCACCACCACCATCATCACCACAACCACCGTCACCACCACCACCATCATCACCACCATCATCACCATCATCACCACCACCACCGTCACCACCACCATCACCACCACCACCATCATCATCATCACCACCACCACCACCATCATCACCACCACCACCACCATCATCACCACCATCATCACCACCACCATCATCACCACCACCACCATCATCACCACCACCACCACCATCATCATCACCACCACCACCATCATCATCACCACCACCACCACCATCATCACCACCGTCACCACCACCACCACCGTCACCACCACCACCCTCACCACCGTCACCACCACCACCATCACCACCGTCACCACCACCACCACCACCACCCTCACCACCACCACCGTCACCACCACCCTCACCACCCTCACCACCCTCACCACCACCGTCACCACCACCGTCACCACCATCACCACCATCACCACCACCACCACCACCCTCACCACCATCACCACCACCACCATCACCACCATCACCGTCACCACCACCACCATCATCACCACCACCATCATCACCACCATCATCACCACCACCACCACCATCATCACCACCACCACCACCATCATCACCACCACTGTCAACACCACCACCACCATCATCATTACCACCACCGTCACCACTATCACCGTCACCACCATCACCGTCACCACCACCACTGTCAACACCACCACCACCATCATCACCACCACCATCATCACCACCACCACCGTCACCACCACCACTGTCAACACCACCACCATCATCACCACCCCCATCATCACCACCACCACCATCATCACCACCACCACCGTCATCACCACCACCATCTTCACCACCACCACCACCACCATCATCACCGTCACCACCATCACCGTCACCACCACCACCATCATCACGACCACCACCACCGTCACCACCACCACCACCATCATCACCACCACCACCACCATCATCACCACCACCACCACCACCGTCACCACCATCACCGTCACCACCACCACCACCATCATCACCACCATCACCGTCACCACCACCACCATCACCACCACCATCACCACCATCACCGTCACCACCACCACCACCATCACCACCACCACCATCATCACCACCACCACCATCATCACCACCACCACCACCACCATCATCACCACCACCACCATCATCATCATCATCACCACCAACGTCACCACCACCACTGTCAACACCGTCACCACCACCACCACCATCATCACCACCACCATCACCACCACCATCATCACCACCACCACCATCACCACCACCATCATCACCACCACCACCACCATCATCACCACCACCACCATCATCACCACCACCATCATCACCACCACCACTGTCACCACCATCACCGTCACCACCACCATCATCATCACCACCACCATCATCATCACCACCACCACCATCATCACCACCACCACCGCCACCATCATCACCACCACCATCATCACCACCACCACCATCATCACCACCACCACCATTATCATCATCACCACCACCACCATTATCATCATCACCACCACCACCGTCATCACCACCACCACCACCATCATCACCATCACCACCATCATCACCACCACCATCATCACCGCCACCACCATCATCACCACCACCATCATCACCACCACCACAGTCACCACCATCACCGTCACCACCACCACCACCACCATCATCATCACCACCACCATCATCATCACCACCACCACCATCATCACCACCACCACCACCACCACCGCCACCATCATCACCACCACCATCATCACCACCACCACCATCATCACCACCACCACCATTATCATCATCACCACCACCACCATTATCATCATCACCACCACCACCATCATCACCACCACCACCACCATCATCATCATCATCACCATCACCACCATCATCACCACCACCATCATCACCGCCACCACCATCATCACCACCACCATCATCATCACCACCACCACCATCATGACCGCCACCACCATCATCACCACCACCATCATCACCACCACCACCACCATCATCACCACCACCATCATCACCACCATCATCACCACCACCACCACCACCATCATCACCACCATCATCACCACAACCACCGTCACCACCACCATCATCACCACCATCATCACCATCATCACCACCACCACCGTCACCACCACCATCACCACCACCATCATCATCATCATCACCACCACCATCATCACCACCACCACCACCATCATCACCACCACCACCATCACCACCACCACCACCATCATCACCACCATCATCACCACCACCATCATCACCACCACCACCATCATCACCACCACCACCATCATCACCACCACCACCACCATCATCATCACCACCACCACCATCATCATCACCACCACCATCATCACCACCGTCACCACCACCACCGTCACCACCACCACCCTCACCACCGTCACCACCACCACCATCACCACCGTCACCACCACCACCACCCTCACCACCACCACCGTCACCACCACCCTCACCACCCTCACCACCGTCACCACCACCGTCACCACCCTCACCACCATCACCACCACCACCACCCTCACCACCATCACCATCACCACCATCACCACCACCACCACCGTCACCACCATCACCACCACCACCACCCTCACCACGACGCCACCCACCCCGAAGGGCTATTTACAAGACTCCACGTGCGTCCACGGGATAAGGTCCAGGGGGATGGACGCACACAAAGACATCCTGCTCGTAGCCCCCAACAGACTGTAGGGGCAAGTGCTGTTAGCGAGCAGCACCTATGAAGGCCGGCACCGTGGCACACGAGGGGGGTGGATTTCCAGCACCACGCCCGGCCGCCTTTGTCTCCCCCGGTGGCGACGTTTACTACACACCGCGCCAGGTACTAATTTGAGGCCGAGCCGACCTAGGTGAGGCCCAGGACCCCCGGGTTCCAGGTGATCGTCACCGGTGTTGGCCGCGAGCGGGAATCCAACTCTGGCCGCAGGGTTCTGAGCGCGACGCGCTAAATCGTTGTGCCACCGCTCCCACGCACGGCACGCGCACGGCACGCGCACACACAGCGCCTGGCGGCCACACATCTCTCGCTCTGTCTCTCTCTCTCTGGGTTGGCGTCTCTCGGCGTCTCCCAGCCGCTGGCTCCATGGCACAGCGGCCCGTGCACAGTGAGCCATGATATAGACCCACAGGCAGGCACGCTGACAAAGCCGCATCGACTTACATATGTGGGAAGCCCTACACATAGCATAGACTTGCATAGAGACCCAGAGACTGCCATACACTGACATGACGCCTTTTGGCGTCGTCTGGTCGAGCACCAATTGGGTCGAGGCTCAAAAGAAAGCCGTCCCTTGGTGTGGACCAATCAGTTTCAAGGACAATGCATCATATATTATCATAGCGTGTTTTTTTGTTTGCATTTGACTGCAGGTATTGTGGTTAATGCAGTAACATGAATCCTCGTAAAAAGGTTTCAGTTTTGTTGCCAGAAATAAGGGGAAAAACCCTATTATTACATTTTGGTACTGGCAAAGGAGGTCTAATGATGATGATGACCCACAGACTTACAGAGACCCAAAGACTCGAACACACTTACATGACCCCATAGACTTACACAAAGACCCATAGACTGGTATACACAAACATGACCCCATAGACTTACACAAAGACCCATAGACTGGTATACACTTACATGACCCCATAGACTTACACAAAGACCCATAGACTGGTATACACAAATATGACCCCATAGACTTACACAAAGACCCATAGACTGGTATACACTTACATGACCCCATAGACTTACACAAAGACCCATAGACTGGTATACACAAACATGACCCCATAGACTTACACAAAGACCCATAGACTGGTATACACTTACATGACCCCATAGACTTACACAAAGACCCATAGACTAGTATACACAAACATGACCCCATAGACTTACACAAAGACCCATAGACTGGTATACACTTACATGACCCCATAGACTTACACAAAGACCCATAGACTGGTATACACTTACACGACCCCATAGACTTACACAAAAACCCATAGACTGGTATACACAAACATGACCCCATAGACTTACACAAAGACCCATAGACTGGTATACACAAACATGACCCCATAGACTTACACAAAGACCCATAGACTGGTATACACAAACATGACCCCATAGACTTACACAAAGACCCATAGACTGGTATACACTTACATGACCCACTGGTGAGGCGGGGGGGGGGGGTCGTGGTGCCGGCCTCGCCTGACGATCTCCGCGCGACGTTGAGTCCAGTCGCGGAAAGTCTCAAACCACCACCAGCGACGAGGACCACGATGAGGAGCAGGAGGAGGAGGAGGAGCAGGAGCGTCTTTATTGGCCAGAATGTCATCAATACACGGGGACGTGTAAACAACAAACGCGCGGTAAGTCCTCGCTTAGCGCGTCGCGGTGTGCACACGATAACGCGGTCTCGCTGCAACGCGGTTCTGCCATTTGGGGAAACGCTTTCGGACAAAGCGGAACGCTCGCCATTAAAACGCGGGACGCGCGCACCGTCATAACGCGGGACTCACTCCGTTATAACGCGGGACTCACTCCGTTATAACGCGGGACTCGCTCCGTTATAACGCGGGACTCGCTCCGTTATAACGCGGGACTCACTCCGTTATAACGCGGGACTCACTCCGTTATAACGCGGGACTCACTCCGTTATAACTCGGGACTCACTCCGTTATAACGCGGGACTCACTCCGTTATAACGCGGGACTCACTCCGTTATAACGCGGGACTCATTCCGTTATAACGCGGGACTCACTCCGTTATAACGCGGGACTCACTCCGTTATAACGCGGGACTCACTCCGTTATAACGCGGGACTCACTCCGTTATAACGCGGGACTCACTCCGTTATAACGCGGGACTCACTCCGTTATAAGGCGGGACTCACTCCGTTATAACGCGGGACTCGCTCTGTTATAACGTGGGACTCACTCCATTATAACGCGGGACTCACTCTGTTATAACGCGGGACTCACTCCGTTATAACGCGGTTTCTGAGCGGTCGACAACGAACTACTTTCTCAAGCCGTGCGGCTGGGGCGTTACGGCAATACGGTAACGCGGTGGCGGCAGACACTCGGTGATTTGTCCCGCCATCTCGCTGCATGGCGCGTAGCAGTCGTAGTTAGTAGACCGTAGTAGTCATAGGTAGTACACAGTATCTGTAGTTAGTACACCGTCGTAGTCGTAGTTACTACACAGTAGTAGTCGTATCTTGATTTGAAGCTTTCGTGACTGCAGGAATCCATACTCTTTGGTTCTTTCGGTAAAGTCGCGTCGGTAGAAAATAAAATCAAATAAAACAAATCACGACGTTTCGATCGCAACGCAAGCAATCATCATCAGGTGGGACAACCACAGCGAAAGAAAAAAGCTGAAGTGGGCGAGAGAGCTGCCAATCAAAACCATCACTTTACCATACATAGCAGGCGTTACCAAAAATATTTCCAAAATCTTAAACAAACACAAGATCCAGGTCCGATTCAATACAGGACACAAAATCCGTGATCTAATCCCATCTGTGAAGGATGTCATTCCTGACATGCAATACCCTGGAGTATACAAACTGAGTTGCACCTGTGGTGATTGTTACATTGGGGAAACGAAACGACATGTCTCGGACCCTGTTCGCGAACACAAGGAAGATCTGAAACACGGCCGAACCAATACCTCGGCCGTGGCTGACCATTGCTATAACGCTGTAGGCTCTCATGATGTTGTTTTTTCCGAGACCAAGGTGCTCTGCAAACCTTCGGGCAACTATCAAAGGTTTGTTCATGAAGCCATCCAGATATATACACATAGACATAACTTGAACCGAGAGGATGGATACAAATTGAGCAATCATTGGAAGGATGTTATTACCAGGTAAAGCCTTAACTGGTTGTGGTTGTTTGCATCATATCCGACGGGTACTAGTCTATTTTTCCGAGTTACTTTCCCCCCCGTGTCCCACTTCTAGCCCAGCCTACTTCCCCCCCCCCCCCAGCCTCAATTCTTCTCCCCCTAGCGCTCATGCAGCACTCCCCCCTTCCGCTGCTCCACACCCCCTCTCTCTCTCCCCCCTTGCTCCTCCCCCTTTTCTTACCTATATAACCTCTTACCACGGCAGCTCTCTCGCTTACTTCAGCCATTTTTATCTTGCTGTGTTGTTCCACCTGATGAAGATCGCTTGTGTTGCGATCGAAACGTCGTGATTTGTTTTAATTTGTTTCTACCTACGTGACTTTACGGAAAGAACCAAAGAGTATATTGGTAGTCGTGGTTAGCACACCATAGTAGCTGTAGTTAGTACACCGTAGTAGCTGTAGTTAGTACACCGTAGTAGCTGTAGTTAGTACACCGTAGTAGTCGTAGTTAGTACACCGTAGTAGTCGTAGTTAGTACACCGTAGTAGTCGTAGTTAGTACACCGTAGTAGTCGTAGTTAGTACACCGTAGTAGCTGTAGTTACTACACCGTAGTAGCTGTAGTTACTACACCATAGTAGTCGTAGTTACTACACCGTAATAGCTGTAGTTACTACACCGTAGTAGTTACTACACCGTAGTAGCTGTAGTTACTACATCGTAGTAGCTGTAGTTAGTACACCGTAGTAGCTGTAGTTAGTACACCGTAGTAGCTGTAGTTAGTACACCGTAGTAGTCGTAGTTACTACACCGTAATAGCTGTAGTTACTACACCGTAGTAGCTGTAGTTAGTACACCGTAGTAGCTGTAGTTACTACACCGTAGTAGCTGTAGTTAGTACACCGTAGTAGCTGTAGTTACTACACCGTAGTAGCTGTAGTTAGTACACCGTAGTAGTCGTAGTTACTACACCGTAATAGCTATAGTTACTACACCGTAGTAGTTACTACACCGTAGTAGCTGTAGTTACTACACCATAGTAGCTGTAGTTAGTACACCGTAGTATCTGTAGTTAGTACACCATAGTAGTTAGTACACTGTAGTAATCGTAATTACTACACCTTAGTAGTCGTAGTTAGTACACCGTAGTAGTTAGTACACCGTAGTAGTCGTAGTTACTACACCATAGTAGTCGTAGTTACTACACTGTAGTAGTCGTAGTTACTACACCATAGTAGTCGTAGTTACTACACCGTAGTAGTAGTAGTAGTTACTACACCGTAGAAGTCGTAGTTAGTACACCGTAGTAGTCGTAGTTAGTATACCGTAGTAGTAGTAGTAGTAGTTAGTACACTGTAGTAATCGTAATTACTACACCTTAGTAGTCGTAGTTACTACACCGTAGTAGTTACTACACCGTAGTAGTCGTAGTTACTACACCATAGTAGCCGTAGTTAGTACACAACATCACGTGCCGGGAAATCGTTTTTCCGCTAAAGTGCGGCGCTATTTCAGGAAGGCAACGGCCGCTACCGGCGCGTTAAACAAGGACTGCACCTGAAACGTTAAACGAGGACTGCACCTGAAACGTTAAACGAGGACTGCACCTGAAACGTTAAACGAGGACTGCACCTGAAACGCGCCGTGGACGGTGGACGTTGTTCTCGAGAAGCTTTTTAGGGGGAAACAAAAACAAATGAAACTACCGCTACGGTTCAGCCTTGACCGAAAACCACAACGCGGACCATACTTCACCATTCTTGGCACTGCCTGAGAGGGGGGTGGGGAGGTGGGGGGTTGGGGGGGTTGGGGGGGCTCTCTCAAGTGATGCGTTGCACGCAGCCCATTCACCGTCACTCCACTGCTGGATGAAGCTCTCTCCCCCCACCCACGCCGTGTAGACGTCCATAAAAAAACACGTGGGGCTGTTGGGGCCAAAGTTGGGGCCTGCCACGTGCCAACAGCTGCCGTGTCCCAACGTTCCAACCACGTTCGACCGACGTCGTCTCAACGTTGATACGTAGGCACCGCGCCTCGGGCCTACGAAAAACAACATGGACCACGTTTTTTGTTTGTTTGTATGATTTAGAAAAAAAAATGTAACCAAGATATCTTCTTGAACAAACGTATTCATTGGTCCGCTCGTTGCAATCCCTTTGCAGCAGCGAAGGGATTGCAACGAGCGAAGGTGTATGGGGCCATCCATAAATGACGTCACGCGATTTTCGACGATTTTTGACCCCCCCCCCCCTCGTCACACGAAAGTAAAGCGACGTGGTGCTCACCTCCATCGATGACGTTCAACGATGTCCCAACGTCGGTCCGACGTTTGTCATCGATGGAGGCGAGCGGCATCCTTTTAAAGCCGCCTCAATCATCAGTAGAAGAACAGTCGAGGAGATTGTCTATGTAATATCTTTTTTTTAGGGGGCTTTATTTTCCCTCTCTTCAACAGTTTCAAACGAAATCTTCTCACCTGCGACGCACGGCCACGGACTGAACGGTGAACGTGCCGGCAGCAACGACGTCTGTTCGCTGGCTCAACGTTGGTCCAAGGTTGGCTCAACATTGGGTCAACGTTGGCTCAACGTTCGTCCAAAGTTGGCTCATCGACAGCTCAACGATGTCTCAACGTCGGTCCAACGTCGGTCCAACGTTGGCTCAACGTAAGTCAAATGTTGGTCCAACGTTGGCTCAACGACAGCTCAACGATGTCCCAACGTCGGTCCAACGTCGGCCCAACGTTAGTCCAATGTTGGTCCAACGTCGGTCCAACGATGTCCCAACGTCGGTCCAACGTCGGTCCAACGTTGGTCCAACGTCGGTCCAACGTTGGTGCAACCGGTTGACGCGGCCCCTGCGACGAGGCGGAGTGAATCGATGCTCGGAGCGGCAGCCATGGCCCCGGGTCGTGGCAACTCGTCAAAGTGTTGTGAGGGGCGCGTGGTGAGCGGCAAGGCCGTCCATGGGGGGGGGGGGAGGGGGGGGGCCCAGGACAAGTCACAACGCATGGACCCACCCCCACCCCCCCAATCCCCCCCACCCCCCCCGCCCCCACCCCCCGCCCCCCACCCCCCGCCGCCCTGACCGATGCCTTCAAATTAAACCCGAGGTACAGGGTGTTTCAAAAAGATGGAACCCATTTTAAATCGCTACATCTCTGCAACGACGAACCGCCCATGAATTAAACTCTTACACCGAGACACCGCGACATCCAAGCACGTGGCCCCCCCAAAAGCACGGGGCCTGGGGCCGTCGCGGATGATGGGGCGCCACGGTGGCTAGGAGATGTTAACTACCTCGCCAGGTATGGAGGAGGTTGTGGGTTCGATCCCAACCCTGACGCCTGCTGCTGTATATTTGGAGTTTGCGTGTCTCTCTCTCTCTCCCTCCGTGGTCGCTCGAATTTTTCTCCGGGTCCTCCGGTTTTCCCCTCCACATTTAGAATCGACATCACCACGCAATTAGGGTATTTGGCTGCTCTAAATGTCCACGTGACGATGCCGATGAGCCACTTTCGTTGAGCTGTCGTTTGCGACGACCAGCTCGCTTCTGAGAAAAGAGCTACACGGCTCAGTGGGACCTTACCTGGTAAAATAAAGAATAATTTTTATAGTTTATAGATTCTCTGGGTGCCCTCGTGGTGAGCGGTCGCCCAAAGGCTGCTCGCAGCCAGAACGGTTGCCCTGACCTCCACCTCGTCACGCTCCACCTCGTCGCCCTCTTCATACTTCTCATTCTCCAAATCGTCATCATCACCCTCCTGCACCTCGTCATCGCCGCCTCATCTCCCGCCCTCATCATTCTCCACATCCACGACTCATTATCCACCTTAACCACCTCCTCCCCTCCATCACATAATCCTCCTCATCCACCTCATTATCTTTGCCACTATAATTCTCATCAGCCTGCTCCTTATCCACCATCTCCAACTCATCATCATCATCATCACCCTCTTCCTCCTCATCATCCGTCCAATCCTCATTCACCTACTCATCATCATCATCCTCCTCCTCATCTACATCATCATCATCATCCACCCATCTCCTCCACCACCACCTCCTCATCATCCGCCATGCAACCTCATCGTGTCTACGTGTGGACGTGTCCGGGATTCTGTTCCGCTGAGCGATCCACGTCTCCCAACTCCTGCAACACAAACAGGATCAGGATCAGAATATGAACACTGCAGTTGGTATCCGATGAGCTATGAAGCTCTTTTTATCCCACAGATGTCCCGGTAGGGGCACGGGTTAAGAACGGTTACAATAACGCGATAGCAGTGCAAAGTACAAGTTAGGTGAACAAATCGCCCACATTTCGATTTAAAGCTTTCGTGACTGCAAGGATTCATCTTCTTTGGTTCTTTCGGTAAAGTCACGTAGAATGAGAGTAAAATAATAAAATAAGACAATAAAATTCTCACGACGTTTCGGTCACAACACAAGCAGCCTTCTTCAGGTGAAAGAACGGAACTGTCGGGACGACAGAGCTTCAAATTGACACGACGAGGTTGCATCTGTGGAATAAAAAGAGCTTCATAGCTCATCGGATTCCTCCTGCAGTGTTCATATTCTGATCCTGATCCTGTTTGTGTTGCAGGAGTTGGGAGACGCGGATCGCTCAGCGGAACAGAATCCCGGACACGTCCACACGTAGAACTGTCGGGACAACAGAACTTCAATTGAAGCTTCAATTGAAGCTCTATCGTCCCGACAGTTCTGTTCTTTCACCTGAAGAAGGCTACTTGTGTTGTGGCCGAAACGTCGTGAGAATTGTATTGTCTTACGTTATTATTTTATTCTCATTCTACGTGACTTTACCGAGAGAACCAAAGAAGATGAATCGCCCAAACACAAACAGAAACGGCACTGAGCCATCCCTATCATACGAGGCAAAGCCCACTGAGGTGTGAACTTATTTTGTCAGAAGCAATCTGGCCACCGCAAATTCGTGAGCAAAACAGAGACGCACACGCAGCGAACCGCTGTGCATCATCCACAGCGGTTCATCTGGTTTGCCGATTGACGCAAATTAATAGCTCGTGGATTTTCCCTAAGTTAATTTATCTAAAAAACACGTGATCGCCTCTACAGTACAGTACGTATGTATATAAAGTGTGTGTGTGTATGCATTTATTACAATTGTCTTGTGCATCTGGTACTCTAACTGCGTAAAAGCATTCGCTAAATGCAAATCGTAATCTATATTTAGATTATAATATAATATGTTAAATGTGTATAATATCGTATTAATTATATTACATTTATTTATGCTATAATCAGAGTCCATCTTTATACTGCAAGAGGAATCCGATGAACTATAAAGCTCTTCTTAAACCGGCCGAAACTCAGCGGCCCCCTGGCTCCTCGGCGACCCCCCCAAACGAACCGCGGCCGTCACCGCCGTCACGTGACCCCGCGCACCTCCCGGTGCGGCGGCTGAAGGGCGGCGGCGGCAGCGGCGGCGGCGGCGGCGTCCTCGGCCATCACGGCCCTGCCGGCCATCTCGATGACGTCGGCCACGATGGACGCCGCCGCCTTGTTGAGCACCTCGGCTTGCTGGGGCGTGAGCGGCCCTCTCCCTCCACGTCGCCGTCGGGCGCCGTCCCTCCCGCCGCCGCCGCCGCCGCCGCCGTCGCTCGAGCTGCCGCCCGTCCCGCCGCCGTCGCCGTCGTCGCCGTCGTCGTCGGACGGCGTCGACGACGGCGACGGCGACGTGCGCCAAGCTGCCTGGGAGGCGGCGGCGCTCGCGGTCGTCACGCCGGCGAGCCACTCGCTCACCGTCGCGTTGCCTCCCGCGCCGAAGGCCGCCTCGCGCGGCGGCGCCTCGGCGGCCGCCGTCGGCCCGCGGCGCCGCCGCCCGGGCCCCTCGGCCGGGCTCGGCGCCGCGCTCGACCCCGGCGAGGAGGGGAACGTCGCCCCCGCGGCGTCGGCGTCGCCGCCGCCGCCGCCGCCGCCGCCGCGGCCGCGTCCCGTGCCGTAGATCTCGGCGAGAGCCGAAGTCAGGACCGACGCGACGATTTCTCTCGCGAGGGCGGTCGCGGACGCGAGGCCGTTATCCTCGCCCTCCGTCTCGTCGCCCCCGGCCATCCGGATCCCGGCATCCTCCCGCGCGTCCCCCCACCTCCTCCGCTCCGAGGCGGAGCGCCGATCTTCCCGGCGCTCCGCCGTCGCTCGAATCCCGTTCTCGCGCCCGGCCGTCGCCGCGCTCGCCGCCTTTGCGCCTACCGACCCCGTGACCTTCTTCTGCTCCTCCTCGTCCCGGTCGCTTCCCCGTCCCGCCTCCTCCTCCTCCTCCTCGTCTCTCCCCCTCTCCTCTTCCACCCGGGCCCTCCCGTCACCCCGAGGACCCTTCGCTTCGGCCTCCTCTTCCTCGATGAGGTACAGCTCCTCCCAGACACAGCCGTCAAACTCCGACGAGAAGCCGCGGCTCGCCGGCCGGCCGCCCCCACCGGCACCGTCCCGGCCCTCGCGGACGAACCGCACCCGGCCGGGAGCGGCGACCTCCTCCGCTCCCGGCGCGGGCGGCGAGGCCGCCGATCCCGCGGCGCTTCCGGCCTTGCCGTTTGCCAGCGAAGCGTCTGGGCCGCCGCCGACCTGCGGTGCGGCGGGGCGAGGCCTGGCACGGGCCGCGCCGTCTGCTCCGTGCGCCGCCACCGGCGCGGCGCAGCCGGGGAGCCGGACTCCAACGCCACCGCCAGAAAACGCCGGCGTTCCTGCCGACACTGGTTCTGGTTCCTTGTCTAAGTGTTCACCTGCTGGTTCCTTGTCTAAGTGTTCACCTGCTGGCTCCCTGTCTAAGTGTTCACTTGCTGGTTCCCTGTCTAAGTGTTCACCTGCAGGTTCCCTGTCTAAATGTTCACATGCCGGTTCCCTGTCTAAGTGTTCACCTGCTGGTTCCGGTTCCCTGTCTAAGTGTTCACCTGCTGGTTCCCTGTCTAAGTGTTCACCTGCTGGTTCCGGTTCCCTGCCTAAGTGTTCACCTACAGGTTCCCTGTCTAAATGTTCACATGCCGGTTCCCTGTCTAAGTGTTCACCTGCTGGTTCCGGTTCCCTGTCTAAGTGTTCACCTGCTGGTTCCCTGTCTAAGTGTTCACCTGCTGGTTCCGGTTCCCTGTCTAAGTGTTCACCTGCAGGTTCCCTGTCTAAATGTTCACATGCCGGTTCTCTGTCTAAGTGTTCAACTGCTGGTTCCGGTTGCCTGTCTAAGTGTTCACCTGCCGGTTCTCTGTCTAAGTGTTCACCTGCTGGTTCCGGTTTCCTGTCTAAGTGTTCACCTGGTGGTTCTATGTCTTGATGTTCACCTGCTGGTTCCCTGTCTAAGTGTTCACCTTCTGGTTCAGTGTCTAGGTGTTCACCTGCAGGTTCCCTGTCTAAGTGTTCACCTGCAGGTTCCCTGTCTAAGTGTTCACCTGCCGGTTCTCTGTCTAAGAGTTCACCTGCTGGTTCAGGTTCCCTCTCTAAGTGTTCACCTGCTGGTTCCGTGTCTAAGTGTTCACCTGCTGGTTCCCTGTCTAAGTGTTCACCTCCTGGTTCAGAGTCTAGGTGTTCACCTGCTGGTTCCGGTTCCCTATTTACGTGTTCACCTGCTGGTTCCAGTTCCCTGTCTAAGTGTTCCCCTCCTGGTCCCGTGTCTGGGTGTTCACCTGCTGGTTCTGGTTCCCTGTCTAAGTGTTCACCTCCTGGTCCTGTGTCTAGATGTTCAGCTGCAGGCTTCGGTTCCCTGTCTAAGTGTTCACCTCCTGGTCCCGTGTCTGGGTGTTCACCTGCTGGTTCCGGTTCCCTGTCTAAGTGTTCACCTGCTGGTTTCATGTCTAGATGTTCAGCTGCAGGCTTCGGTTCCCTGTCTAATTGTTCACCTGCTTTTTCCATGTCTTGGCGTTCACTTGCTGGTTCGCTCTCTGGGTGTTCTTCTGCTGGTTCCGTATCTAAGTGTTCAACTGCTGATTCCGGTTCCCTGTCTAAGTGTTCACCTACTGATTCCCTGTTTAGGTGTTCACCTGCTGGTTCCCTGTCTAAGTGTTCACCTGCTGATTCCCTGTCTAGGTGTTCAACTGCTGGTTCAGCTTCCCTGGCTAAGTGTTCACCTGATGGTTCCGTGTCTTGGTGTTCAACTGCTGGTTCGCTGTCTAGGTGTTCACCTGCTGGTTCCGGTTCCCAGTCTAAATGTTCACCTGCTGGTTCAGTGTCTTGGTGTTCACCTGCTGGTTCCCTGTCTAAGTGTTCACCTGCTGGTTCCGGTTCAGTGTCTAAATGTTCGCCTGCTGGTTCTCTGTCTAAGTGTTCACCTGCTGGTTCCATATGTAAGTGTTCACCTGCTGGTTCAGGTTCCCTCTTTAAGTGTTCACCTGCCAGTTCCCTGTCTAAGTGTTCACCTCCTGGTTCGCTATCTAGGTGTTCACCTGCTGGTTCCGGTTCCCTGTCTACGTGCTCACCTGCTGGTTCCGTGTCTTGGTGTTCACCTGCTGGATCTGGTTCCTTATCTAAGTGTTTACCAGCTGGTTCCGTGTCTAGGTGTTCACCTGCTGGTTCCGGTTCCTTGTCTAAGTGTTCACCTCCTGGTCCCGTGTCTTGGCGTTCACCTGCTGGTTCCGGTTCCCTGTCTAAGTGTTCACCTCCTGGTCCCGTGTCTTGGTGTTCACCTGCTGGTTCTGGTTCCCTGTCTAAGTGTTCACCTCCTGGTTCCGTGTCTAGGTGTTCACCTGCTGGTTCCGGTTCCCTGTCTAAGTGTTCACCTCCTGGTCCCGTGTCTTGGTGTTCACCTGCTGGTCCCGGTTCCCTGTCTAAGTGTTCACCTCCTGGTCCCGTGTCTTGGTGTTCACCTGCTGGTTCTGGTTGCCTGTCTAAGTGTTCACCTCCTGGTTCCGTGTCTAGGTGTTCACCTGCTGGTTCCGGTTCCCTGTCTAAGTGTTCACCTGCTGGTTTCATGTCTAGATGTTCAGCTGCAGGCTTCGGTTCCCTGTCTAATTGTTCACCTGCTTTTTCCATGTCTTGGCGTTCACTTGCTGGTTCGCTCTCTGGGTGTTCTTCTGCTGGTTCCGTATCTAAGTGTTCAACTGCTGATTCCGGTTCCCTGTCTAAGTGTTCAACTGCTGATTCCGGTTCCCTGTCTAAGTGTTCACCTGCTGATTCCCTGTCTAGGTGTTCAACTGCTGGTTCAGCTTCCCTGGCTAAGTGTTCACCTGCTGGTTCCCTCTCTAAGTGTTCACCTGTCAGTTCCCTGTCTAAGTGTTCAACTGCTGATTCCGGTTCCCTGTCTAAGTGTTCACCTGCTGATTCCCTGTCTAAGTGTTCACCTGCTGGTTCAGCTTCCCTGTCTAAGTGTTCACCTGCTGATTCCCTGTCTAGGTGTTCAACTGCTGGTTCAGCTTCCCTGGCTAAGTGTTCACCTGCTGGTTCCCTCTCTAAGTGTTCACCTGTCAGTTCCCTGTCTAAGTGTTCAACTGCTGGTTCCCTGTCTAAGTGTTCACCTGCTGATTCCTTGTCTAAGTGTTCACCTGCTGGTTCAGCTTCCCTGGCTAAGTGTTCACCTGCTGGTTCCCTCTCTAAGTGTTCACCTGTCAGTTCCCTGTCTAAGTGTTCACCTGCTGGTTCCCTGTCTAAGTGTTCAACTGCTGATTCCCTGTCTAGGTGTTCAATTGCTGGTTCAGCTTCCCTGGCTAAGTGTTCACCTGCTGGTTCCCTCTCTAAGGGTTCACCTGTCAGTTCCCTGTCTAAGTGTTCACCTGCTGGTTCCCTGTCTAAGTGTTCACCTGCCGGTTCAGGTTCCCTCTCTAAGTGTTCAACTGCTGGTTCCGTGTCTTGGTGTTCACCTGCTGGTTCCCTGTCTAAGTGTTCACCTCCTGGTCCCGTGTCTAGGTGTCCACTTGCCGGTTCCCTGCCTAGGCGTCCATCCACTGTAATTGTTTCCGCGTCTGGGTGTTCACTACCCCATGGCGCTGAGCAGGCCTCGCCTGCGTTCGTCTCGCGACCGACGCCGGCGCTCGGCTCCGACCGCTCGCTCCACGCCGGCGCCGCCGCCGCCTCCTCCTCCTCCTCCCGTCCCCCTGCCTCCTCCTCCCGTCCCCCCGCCTCCTCCTCCTCCTCCCGTCCCCCCGCCTCCTCCACCGTGCCCCCCGAACGCTCCCCGTCGCCGGGACCTCCGTGGCGGCCGCCCTCCGGCGGCGGACTCGCGTCCGAAGCGGGCTCCTGCCGCCCGTTGCTGTCGTAGTCGCAGATCACGATGCTGATCTGCTCTCCGGCCGAGCAATGCGGCTCTTTCGATCTTTCCGCCTCCGCTCCGGGAACGGCATCATCGTCCTTCCCAACCGACTCCTCCGTCGCCGATGCCGCCGCGGTCGGCTCCGGCGCCGGCACCGGCGTCGCCGTCGCCGCGGCCGCCCCGGCACGGACGAGCTCTCCGCCGAGTTGCGCCGACGCTTTGCCTTTGCCGTGCGTCTTCACGTGGAGGCAGACGGCGGCGTCCTTCGCGGGCGAGTGCAGCTTGATGATGCAGACGGCCACCTCGCCCGACTCTTCCTCCTGCTTGCCGCCGGCCCCCCCTACCGCCGCCGGCTCCGACGGGACCCCCGCGTCCTGCGCCGCGCTCTCCGGCCCGCGCCGGTTGCTCCGCTGCCGGTCTGAGCGGCGGAACGGCTTCCAGGCCGAGTGCGGCGGCGGCGGCGCCGGAGCCGGAGCCGTCGCCGCGCCGCCGCCCCCCGCCGCCTCCCCCTCCCCCCCGTGCCCGCCGCCCTCCGCGTTCGTCAGCAGCTTGGCCGTGCAGCCGTCGCCGCCGGACTCCGCGGCGCGGGACGAGCGCCGGCCCGTGCTGCGCTGGCTCAGGGTGCGACAGAACGAGTTCCACAGCGACAGGGCGTCGTCGCGTCTCACGGGTCGCGACCCCGGCGCCTCCTCCTCCTCCGTCTGCGTTCCAGCTTCCGTGGTGTTTTGCCGCCGCCGCCGCCCCGGCACGCCGCTCCTCGTCGGCCCCTCGCCGGCGCCCGCCGCCGCCGGCGTCGACCCCGGCGGCGACGGCGCCGTTGCTGTCGCCATCCCCGCGTCGAGCAACGACTCCGGCTCCTCCTGCCGCCTCGGCCGCCCCCTCCGCGCGCAGCCGGGCCACAGCCGGAGGAGGAGGTGGTGGCGGCGGTGGCGGCGCGGGTCCGCCACGTCGGCCGAGCCGGCTTTGGTCAGCTCCATCTTGTCGTCTTCACCAGGGCCGAGGCCACACCTCTTCGACGTCCTCCTCCTCCGTGCCGTCGCCGCCGAAGCCGCCGCCGCAGCCGCGAGCCGCAGGCAGCCGCACGAGAACCGCGCGGCGCCCCCCTCGTCGTCGTCGTCGTCGTTCTCGCCGCCGCCGCCGCCGTCGTCGCCGCTCGCGTCCGCCCCTCCGGCCGCCGCGTCGCCCGCACCGTCCGCCCCCCGCCGCGACGAGCCTCTCCTCGCCGGCTGCGGCTGCTGCGGCGCGGACGAGGACTGCCGGCTCACGGACGCGCGCCCGGATTTCTCGAGGCTGTACACGAGGGACGCCTGCTTCAGGATGGCCTGCGACGTGGCCGCCGGGGATGACGCGACCGATGAGGAGGACGACGACGACGAGGAGGAGGAGGAAGAGGAGGACGTCAACGGCGACGACGAGACGCACACGCCGGACTCGCGTGACGCCTGCTTTGAGCACGAGGGCGGCGGCGGCGGCGGCGGCGGCGCCGCCGCGGGAGACAGAGCGGTGGGGACGGCCGCTGCCGGCGAGGCCACGGCGGCCATGGAGGAGGAGGAGGCGGCCGAGGGCGACCTCCTCCTCCTGTCCAGCGACAGCTCCATTCACTACGGCCACACGCATGGGAGGGGAGGGAGGAAGGGTGGCGATGAAGAAGGGGTGGGGGGGGGGCACGTCAGGGCACGTGTCGGTGGCGGCCGCGCCAGTGACCGCGACCCGGCGGCAGTGGCACGAGACGAAGACAAAGTCGACACGGGGATGGCGTTCGCATCGACGCTGGAGAAGCCGTTGCCGCCGGCGCCTCTTTATCGCCGGCCACCCAAAGCAGAGCCGCCCCGAGGGTACACGGTGAATCGGGGCGACCGCCCCGGGCCCCGCGTTTTGGGGGGGCCCCGCGCTTCGCCGTTACGGCTCCCCCCCCCCCCCCCCACACGGCGTTGTGTGGTTTTGCCCCAGGCCCCGAACCCACCGCTGTGGACGGCCCTGACCCACCGCCGGATCGAGCAGTGGCCAAGCGGCGTCAGAGACCGGCGCCGAGGGAGTGCCGGCGAAGGCGCCGGTGTTCTGCGATCTTGGGCGCTCGTGGCCAAGTCCCCCGGGGCGTCGCCCGGCCCTCGCCACGCCTCGCACGCTGCTGTGAATGACCGCCGCCAGCTAAGCCGGCGGTGTTCGCCAACCCGCGCCGGCTCGGTCAAACAACCCCCCCTGCGCGACCCGCACGGGGTGGCGAGGCCCTCGTCCAGCAGCGGAGAGACAAAGGGTGACGGGGGAGGGGGGGGGGGGCAGTGCGGCGTCCTTTACGGAGGGGCACGGCGCCCGTGATCGAGCAGCGAGAGTTTGTTTTGTACAAAAAGAAAGATCGCCGTGCAACTGACGCAGGCTGCGAGAGACATGTGACGCCGAGTACGCGCACGGAAACAAAAGACAAAGATTCTCCCCCCCCCGCCCCCCAGCCATACAGCCACGCAGATAGTCAAGGCAAGGGCTGCATGTGTGCGTGTGTGGATTCCGTTGGGGGAGCGGTGGCGCGGCGGTTAGCACGCTGCGTGCGCTACGAACCCGGCCACCCGAGTTCGATTCCCCCTCAGGGCCAACACCAGTGACGGTTGTCCTGGGCCTCCCCTAGGTTGACACAGCGTTAAATGAGTGCCTGGTACGGCGTGTAAACATCGGGAGACAGAGATAATCAGGCGTGGTGCTGGCCACCTACGCCCTCACGTACCATTGCGACCTTCATAGGTGCTCGCTAACAGCACTTGCCCCAGCAGTCGGAACGAGATACACGAGGAGGGAGGGAGGATTCCCTGGGGTTGGTGTTGCCTCTGTGTGCACTTGGAGGTCACGTGGCATCTACAGACATAGCCCGCACACATCCCGCAAGAAGACATGCAACACCCCCCCCACCCCCCCTCGTGTCAGTGTGTCACGCACACAAAGACAAAGATCCCCCGTATAGACTTTAACGGACTGTTGGGGCAATGGAGTGGTGTTGCCGGCACCACGCCAGACCGTCTTTGTCTCTCTCGTGATGATGTGTTTTTTACACACCGCACCAGGTACTCATTTGAGGTTCGGTCGACCCGGACCGGTTCAGATTCGTGTCACTGGTGTTGGGGGGCTGTGAGTGGGAATCGAATTCGGTTTGCCGGGTTCACAGTGCAGCAAAGACAAAGATCCTCCATATAGCCTCAACAGACTCTTGGGACAAGTGCTGTTAGCAAACATCTACGAAGGCCAACAAGACACACAAGGGCGTGGGTGGCAAGCATCTCGCCCGGCCACCTTTGTCTCCCGAGTGGCGATATTTACGTATCGCACCAGGTACTCATTTGAGCCTGAACCGGTTAGCTGTGAGCGGGAATCGAACTCGGGTAGCCGGGTTCGAAGCACAGCAAGCGCTCACACACATGAGCGCTCACACACATGTAAGTCTACATCCCTAATGTAGACTTACTAACTTACTAACAGTACATCCCTAATGAAGACTTACTAACATTACAACCCTAATGAAGACTTACTAACTTACTAACATTACATCCCTAATGAAGACTTACTAACTTACTAACATTACAACCCTAATGTAGATTTACTAACTTAATAACATTACAACCCTAATGAAGACTCTTACTAACTTACTAACATTACAACCCTAATGAAGACTTACTAACTTACTAACATTACATCCCTAATGTAGACTTACTAACTTAATAACATTACATCCCTAATGAAGACTCTTACTACCCTACTAACATTACATTCCTAATGATGACTTACTAACTTACTAACATTACATCCCTAATGTAGACTTACTAACTTACCAACATTACATCCCTAATGAAGACTCTTACTAACTTATCAACATTACATCCCTAACCCCGTAAAAGGCAATTAGCATTACCGTTAAGCTATTTATTTTATATTTTAATATATATCACACGCACGCACGCATAGCTGCCAACCCACACGGTTTATTTCCAAGTCTTGTCCAGGGAAATTGAGTTTTCAGATCCTCACAGTGAACAGCCGGGCAGAAAAAGGAATTTCTCTTTGCTTTTCTCCCTTGTGATGGGACTTTTCAGGATGTGCATTTAGATTTATGAGGGGCAGTGGGTGACCAATAGGGTCTGAGTTGGTCTGTAATAAGGTAGGACACTGATAAGGGGTTTGCAGGCACGTTACTATTCACTACACTACTAAAAACTACGCTACAATACACTACTATACTACAATAAAATACACTGCTATAAACTATACTACTTTACACTATACTACTATAAACTACACTATACACTACACTACTATACACTACTATAAACTACACTACTATAAACGACACTATACACTACACTACTATAAACTATACTACTATACACTATACTACTATAAACTACGCTACAATACACTACTATACACTATACTACTATAAAGTCCACTACTATAAACTACACTACTATAAACTATACTATACACTACACTATAAACTATACTACTATACACTACACTACTATAAACTACTATACACTACACTATACATTATACTACTATACACTACACTACTATAAACTGCACTACTATACACTACACTACTATAAACTACACTACTATATACTACACTACTATACACTACACTATACATTATACTACTATACACTACACTACTATAAACTACACTACTATACACTACACTACTATAAACTACACTACTATATACTACACTATACATTATACAC